GGGTCACAGGGCCTTGGGGTTTGGGGGCACCGGGACGCCCTTCTGATGGGGCTGCAGGAGGGCCTGGAGCGTGGACGAGGGGGCAAGCCAGAGCCCGAAGGCTCCGCGGAGTCCCCGCCAGCCTGCGGACGGCTGTCTGTGAGCCCGTGGTCTTGTAAATGAAGTTCGTTTTATTATTCCTAATCTGAAAGGAGTGTTGACTGCAGTTTAAAGCATGCATAAAGAGAAAACAGTGATAAGAATACCCAGAGATGAACACTGCTAAAATATTTCCTGTTCATCTCCTTCACCTGAGTAATGTGCTCATACTAGAAGTATGACTCCCTTTGTGTAAGTTTATAAGCATTCTCTAACGACAGGCTCTTCATAAACATGATTTTGTACTGGCTATGTATCATACCATTGAGTAGATACTCCATCATATGCTTTACTGTCTGCTCATGTTGCACAAAAATCCAGAGTAAGTGAAGTGCAGAGACGTCTTCCTAACTCAGGTAGGCACATAAGTGATTCTGTCATTCTGGGACCACTGGGGAACCAGAGAGAGAGAGTCCAGGACGACGCGGGGAAGACTGAGCTTACCGACAGCAAACGGAAATAACCAAGCCATCTTTTGCCTTCTGCGAAAAAGTGAAAAAGTTACCTGCAAGCATGGCTCAAGTGGTAAAGAATCAGGTTTGATCCTGGTTTGGGAAGATTCCCCTGGAAGAGGAAATGGCAGCCCACTCCAGTATTCTTGCCTGGGAAATCCCGTGGACAGAGGAGCCTGATAGGCTACAGTCCACGGGGTCCCAAAGAGTCGGACATGACTGTGCACATGCACATTGATTGAGACGGAGGAAGAAAGGTCCTGGTTTAGTAAATGGAGAACAATTAGACATCTATTGATTCAGTAAACATTTGTGCAGGACTTGCTGTGGGCCAAAGCAGTGTTCCCGAAATAAAGCAGTGAACAAGACTGCTTTTTAAAGAAAAAAAAAAAAAAGACAGTGCCTACTCCCATTGAACTTACGTGTTATTGAGGAGAGATAACTAATAGATAAACGTGATAATCTGTAAATTCCATGAAGAAAGATAAAGAAAAGTTAAAGAGTGTGGGGAAAGGAGTAGTCTTACGGAAGTGGGTGATGGGGTGATGGGCTGAGCATAAGGTCACTGAACACTTAACTGGGGGAGTTCTTTGTTGTCATGTCTTAGTGAACATACAAAACACATGTGTAAGCTTCATGGTGTTACTGCTTCCACCACATTCTATTATGGGAAGTTTCAAGTATTTGCTACGGTGGACACCCACACACTCACTGCCATGATTCTACCATGAATACTTTACCATCCTTGCTTATGACATATCTACCCACCTCTTCCTCCATCACAGGTTTGATTTTAATCTTGATGTGCTCACCCTTTACTCTGTTAATTCTTCAGCTAATTGGTTGTGGATTTCTTTTACCATAGGGGTTTTCAGAAACTTAAACATACAGGAATCAAAACGACTTTTATATTCATTATATATTATTATAGATTTTAATGTTACTTCATTTGGTGTTTACATGAAATTCCTCACTCCATTCGGAGTTTATTTGGGTTAGGGTACAAGGCAAGGTCCTTGTTCGTCTCCTCCCCAAAGAGCTGGTTCACTGGGACATGTGTCAAATCATGCAGGCCTTGCCTGTGTTGGTTGGTCATTTTTAAAAAACTGTAAGAAAAAAAACAATGTAACTTTTTGTATATGCCTGTTTTTCAAATGGTGTCTTCTGTTCACTCGAAATGACTGTTAATTTATTTTACCACCATTTCACTTTCACAGTTTCATAATACATTTTAACATGTAGTTAGGCAAATTCTCACACTATTTTTCAAAATTTTCTTAGCTGTGTTATCATTTATTCTTTCAAATAAATATTAATATTATCCAGACTCTAAAATATCTGATTGAAATTTTAATTCATAGGTATATTCTTTCCTCATTTGAAAAACAGGGATAATAAGAACCTTTTGATAGGATTGTTGCATGGATGAAATGACAGTACACTACATGTGAAGTGTTTTGACGTGCTGTGCTGATTCAGAGCCAGTTCTGATTTTCCAGAGGGCTCTAAGATTCATTTAGAAGCAAGGGAAAACCATCCTGGGTTATTAACCAGTTGAGACACCCCAGGACCGCGTGCCCTCACCCGGGGCGCAGTTCCCGTCTCAGGGGTAACTTCACACCTGATGTAACTGCACACCGGATGCTTCACGTCCATCTTGACCCAAGCATTCCAAGGAGACTGTGTTAGGCGAAGGTAAATCCGAGGTCATCCTCCCACAGATGGAGGGTTGAGCCTGCCGTCTCCTGCCCTCCCCGCCCCCATTTCTGACCCTCTCCTGGACCTCACAGCGTCCCCGCCTTGCTGGGGAGCCTGTCCCACTGCGCTTCCAGCAGTGGTCCTCCCATGGTCTCCAGGGAGGCCGCTGCCTGTCCCGCTCCTCGTGGGGCGGGTCTGCTCCTGCTGCTTCCGGACCTGCTGTCCTCATTCGGGAAAAGGGAGGGTTTGGAGCGATCGCTGTTTGTTCTGCCTGTTCCCTCATCAGCTCTGTCTTTAGCAGGAATTCCTGCAGATTTCTACTCCGTTTCTTCCTGAGCTGATGCCCTTCTCACCCACATCTCACCCTCCCCTTCCCTGCATGGGGACCCCCCTCCCCACCCGTCTCGGTTGTACACGGTAGTGCTGTTTGTGTCCAGACAGCTGCCCTGAAGTGTGCACGTGTCTCCTGCTCCTCCTCCCAGACTGGGTGTCTCGCTGGGGCCGTGCCTGTCTTCAGGGCTCACTCCCCTCTCGCCAGCCTCTTTCCCTGTGAACCCAGCACGGTCAGCAAGACTGACCATTCCTTCCCCCAGCACCTGGTATGGAGCAGACGTCCAGTAAACGTGGGTGACTTCGGTACAAGAAGTGCTAGTGCAGAGTCAGGGCCCTCAGAAGGAGTCTGCAAGGTGCTTCCTGCTGCACCTGGTTCGCTCAGCAGCGGGGAACCTGGAGCCTCGTCCTTTCACACAAGAAACTTGTGGCTGCGGAAAGGAGAAGGGTGGAGAAACGGGCAGGCTAGGCTTGTCTTCCCTGAGATGGGGTGCCCACGCTGTATGTCCTTAGAGAGGACCCTCTCTCATGCTGCAGCCGTGACAGACGGGGGGCCATGGGAGAGCAGGAAAGAATCGGAAGGGAAAGGGGGTGCTGCTGTGCTTCTTAAATTTTTGTTTGGCTGTGTCGGGGCTCGGTTGCAGCTTGCAGGCTCTCTTTGTTGCAGCCAGCAGGCTGGGTCGTTGCTCCACGGCACGTGGGATCTTGCTTCCCCGACCAGAGATCAGACCTGCACCCCTGCTTTGGGAGAGGACCCTTAACCACTGGACCCCCAGGGAGCCCGTCTGCTGCGTTCTGCTTGTTCGTTTTTCGCTTGTTCTTCAGCAGTGCTTTAGGCTCCCAGGATGGAGTGTTAGGTGTAGAATGAGCTTTGAAATGAACAGCGCTGTCGGGATGCCTTGTCACACGTGACCGTCTCACCAACACTCCCTGAGCTCATTGCTCCGTGCTGCAGGCCGTCTGTTTCTCGGGGGTTCCTTAGGGGATGGAGGGGGCAGGGAGGAGCTCATGTCTGCCTGGCGTTTGCTCCGTTCCGGGGCTGTGCCAGGCACCACGCACCAGGTCCGCACTCGTGTCAGTGATGCCCGTTTTAGGCAGGTCCTGCTGTTGGGAAAGCAGTTGTGGAAGCTCTGGTAGGAGGACGCTGATGAACTATTCCAAGGTCACGCAGCCAGTGCTTGAACCTGATCTAGACGGGCTCCAGAATTCCTACTCGTATCGCACTGTAACTGTCTCTTTATCCTCTTTTTGTTCCAAAACATTGTTACTGTTCTGATGCACAACAGGGATCTTTTTCCAACCCAAATAATTAAGAAACTGTTTATCTCCACATGTACTGTGTTAAGCTTCCTAATTTCCATCAACCACTTCCATTATATTTTTCTCATTTAACTGTTGCTCCAGCTCTTAAGAGGGACAGAGGTACATTAGGGTTGGATTGGTTTCTTCTGTGACCTTAGAAGAATTTAAAATATTTCATCAAGAAACCTGACTATGTTAATTTTTTTACATGGCCATACCGTCGGTAACAACAGAGCCTGCTCCTTCCTGGAGCGGCTCTCGCCTTCCAGGGCTCCCTGGTCTGTTCCGTTGTCGCCAGTCACGAGGAGGACGCTCTGGTCCGTGAAGAGCCCCCAGCTCTGATGCCCCTTTTCAGAGCCAAGCCTCGTCCGGCTGGCTCTGCTCCCTGTCTGGGGCTCCCGCCCTCCGCGTCCTGCTGGCACCTTCTGTTCGCTGACACGCGGGGCAGGGGAAGCGAGGTGGGGGTGGTTGGGGTTTTGCTTCTCCTCGCAAACCTGAGTGCTGATTTTCTCTTCTCTGAAATTTATTAAAGTTGCTTCCATTGTGAAAGCTTTCATCATAGAGTCTAGTCCATAGATAGGAGATCTAACCCAATTCCAAGCCTTTTTTCCCCCTAATTAAATATTTGAATAGTGGTTTCCCATTATGGGCTTCCTTTGTGGCTCAGATGGTAAAGAATCTGCCTACAGTGCAGGAGACCCAGATTCGATCCCTGGGTTGGGAAGATCCCCTGGAGAACAGATTGGCTACCCACTCCAGTCTTCTTGCCTGAAGAACTCCATGGACAGAGGAGCCTGGTGGGCTGCAGTCCATGGGGTCGCAAAGAGTCGGACACGACTGAGCGACTAACACTTCCCATTAGGATTGACATGCTGGAAAATAATCCAGTACTTTTTGTTTCTGCTTCTTTAAGTTTCAGAAATTTTATTTCATAGTATCTCAATTTAAATATTTTTATCTCCATTTTTCACATACAGTTAAATTTCAGAGTGTGTTGCACCATAATTGTTTCTGCAGAGAATATGGTCACTATAACTTCACCCTGTGGTTGTTTTAACAGCAAGTTTTATCTGCCTACAGGAGAATATTAAAGAGCGAGCCTCCATATCCCCAGGAAATGAGTGCTGTAGCCAGAGACCTGATCCAGCGTCTCCTGATGAAAGATCCCAAGAAGAGACTGGGCTGCGGCCCACGCGACGCAGATGAAATCAAAGAACATCCCTTCTTTCAGGTGAAACATGCTGAGCAGATGGTTTTCTGTGCCCTGCTGTTTTCAGAGTACTTGGCGTTCTTGGTGAAATGAGTGAGCATGGGTGTTTCAGAGTCATTTTCTCTCTGCTTCCATGTGTGTTATCCCTTTTTAAAATGATAGAACCCTTTAAGAAGGATTAGAATTCTACTTGTAAGGACCTAAATAGTCTTTTTCTCTTTAAATGAAGTGAGAATGGGGAGGATCCTAATAACAATTGGTTTTCTACATATTAATTGGTTAGAGTCTCTAAGTATTGGATTCCATGTGTGATTTGGAAGTTTAGGCATATAGACTGAGGAGACTTTTACTGAATTTTTTAGTCTCAGTTCATGAGCTGTTACTGCCACTGTGTTATGCTTTTTAGATAGTGATTTCATCTCTTCTTTCCCAGGAGAAATCTTAAACAATTCAAAATCAGCCTCCTTCTCAGTTGAATATCTATAATATGTGAAGAATTATTCATTAATTTTCACTGTACTTGAGATGATGCTTTTCTTATTCTGCAAAAGCCTAATGAGACCATTCATTCTACAGAGCACCAACATGTCTGCTCACCCTAATTTGCTCAGTGTAGTAAAAAAAAAAAAACACCATAGTTTTCAATAACTGGGTAAAAATAGACTGGGTTGGCTAGTTATTTCCATCTAAATAGTCATCCTGAAATATAATGACCTTGATTTCTAAAACTCTGAGCTTATGACTTTTAAATAATTTCATAGTATCAAGAAACATGACCTAAATGTTTATGTCCAGAGGGATCATCGGAGTTTTATTTTGCAAACTGAGCTTTCATATTATCACAAAAGTGAATGAAAGTATCATGCCAAAACAAAGAAAAAACTACTGTAGAGTAAGCTTTCATGCTTAATAGAGAAAAACAAATAGTAATTGAGAATAAGATCTTTGTTCTTAAATGCTCAAAAAAGGATACATTTCAGTCTTAGCTGTTTTAAAAAGTATTACTGTACTTCTTATAGAGGTTCAGTAGCATAGTGAGAAATACATTTAGAATAAAATTCTCAGTATGTACATTTCTTAGATTAAAAGATTAACATTTGAACAAACTATTTCAGATACCTTGTTCAGGAGTTTGGCTCAAAAATTAACAAGAAACTGTGGAAAATTCTTAAAGAGATGGAAATACCAGACCACCTTACCTGCCTCCTAAGAAATGTGTATGCAGGTCAAGAAGCACAGTTAGAACCAGACAGAACAATAGACCCGTTCAAAATTGGGAAAGGAATATGTCAAGACTGTATATTGTCACCCTGCTTATTTAACTTCTCTGCAGAGTACATCATGCAAAGTGCTGGGCTGGGTAAAGCTCAAGCTGGAATCGAGATTGCCGGGCGGAATATCAATAACCTCAGATATGCAGATGATACAACCTTATGGCAGAAAGCAAAGTGGAACTAAAGATGAAGGTGAAAGAGGAGAGTGAAAAAACTGTCTGAAAACTCAGCATTCAAAAAACTAAGATCATGGCATCCGGTCCCATCGCTTCATGGCAAAAAATGGGGAAACAATGGAAACAGTATTTTCTTGGGCTCCAAAATCACTGCACACGGTGACTGCAGCCATGAAATTAAAAGATGCTTGCTCCTTGGAAGAAAAGCTATGACCAACCTAAACAGCATATTAAGAAGCAGAGATATCACTTTGCCAGCAAAGGTCTGTCTAGTCAAAGCTATGGTTTTTCCAGTGGTCATGTATGGATGTGAGAGTTGGACCATAAAGAAGGCTGAGCACTGAAGAATTGATGGCCTCTGAACTGTGGTGTTGGAGAAGACTTGAGAGTCCCTTGGACTGCAAGGAGATCCAACCAGTCCATCCTAAAGGAGATCAGGCCTGAACATTCACTGGAAGGCTTGATACTGAAGCTCCTGTACTTTGTCCACCTGATGCGAAGAGCTGACTCATTGGAAAAGATCCTGATGCTGGGAAAGGTTGAAGGCAGGAGAAGGGTACGACAGAGGATGAGATGGTTGGATGGCATCACCGACTCGATGGACCTGAATTTGAGCAAACTCCAGGAGATAGTGAAGGACAGGGAAGCCTGGTGTGCTGCAGTCCCTGGGGTTGCGAAGAGTCAGACACAACTGAGCCACTGAACAACAACAACTCAAGCAAAATAGCCCAAATCATATTTTCCTGGAATCTTTTTCTCCACGGTTCCCTGTACTTACGAATATTGCAATAGAGCTTTCATATTAGAGCAATTTTCTGTAGCTTAGAATATTAATTTTAGGTTATTCAATTGCCTTGACTTTGTAAATGACAGGGACACTTCAGGAAAGACCAAAATTCTACTTGCAAAGGCCCAGATGGAGTGGAGGTGGAGAGGGTTGTAATAGCACTCAACTTTGTCCATACTAAATGCTCTCCTGCTAACAACAGATGTCTTTAAATTACCCCTTTACTCGAGAAGTTCCTCTTCATAGATGTACAGTAGCCAAGCACAGATCATAGCTCGTGATGGAAAACAGTACAGCTGCGGAGAGGAAAGAACACAAACGAGAAAGTCAAGAGACTGGCCCTGCCACTTGCGAACGTTTCAGTGGGAAGGGCCGTCTGATTCCCAGGCTTCAGTCTCCATCTGGGTCAAATAAGGAGGACGAGCTAAATGATCTTTAAAACCTGTTCCTGCTGAAAAGTTTGAAGATCTGTAATTTAGTGATTGTACCTCCATCGCCTCCACAAGAGGGCACAATAAAAACATTTTATGTTGATTATACTTACTGAATGTCATCAACGAACTGCAAGTTTCATGTTTTACCATCTCTGAAAGCAGTATACAGCTTACAGTGGGCAGAATTTTGCTATTCTAATTGGTCATGCTTTTTCTTTCTTAATGATACGTAAAGTAAGGGTGTATCTTACTATCAAGGATGACAGATTATAGGAGAAATATATTGATATTATATATTTGTAATATCAAATACATTGATACTATATGTGTATATATATATAACTGTGGGATTCAGTTCAATAAGTATTATCAGAGATTGTTTTAAGTGACAGAAGGAGAACAACAACAGAAAAGAACAGAGGGTTGAATTTGAATCATATAAGAGTGCAGTTTATCAGTTAGTGACTGACATGGGTGTAAAGGAGGCCTGGACTATCCCATGGGGGAGAGAATAGGCAGTGTTGAAACCCTTGAATACAGCTGAACGAGAAAAGAATGGTTACATAAGTTCCTACGGTCACAATATGGTTTAGACTTACAGACATAAACCAGTGCATGAATTAGAGTTTATTTTCTAATCTGTCTAGATGGCCAGGAGGAAAGCTAGTTAGCACTGCCTCTTGAAAATAGGGCTGTTCCTTTAGAGTTAATAGTCACATCCATTTTAAAGCCCTTTATTACAATCTAGGTTTGGCTTAAATACCTTTCTCGGGGCACATGACAGAATAATTCTTGATATCCCCGGGGTGAACTGGGGGGTCCTGGTGCCCCCTAGTGGCCAGGACGAGACCCCACGGCAGTGGGATGGAAAGCGGTCCCACCTTTCAGTCCCGGCGTCAGCTGGAGCTATAAACTGCGGTCAAAAAACAGCTGAGCTACAGTCAGTGCCATATCTGAGTCAGTCAGCCTTGAGACATCCAAATGTTTTATAACGATAATATAATAATTTCCACAAACTTATCACACGTATGAAACGCCCCCCCCCCCAAAAATGCTCCTGTTTGTAAAGAAGAAATTGTTTTTAATTGTTGGTTAGAAATACATGCTTTTCTCTCTCTTGCTCCATGAAAATTACCTACCTTTGTTATTTTTCAAAACTGTATTTCAACTTTGTTGATTTCTACTTTGTACCAATTTTCTTTCTGTTTTAGAAAATAAACTGGGATGATTTAGCTGCCAAAAAAGTGCCCGCACCCTTTAAGCCAGTCATCCGAGATGAATTAGATGTGAGTAACTTTGCAGAAGAATTCACAGAAATGGACCCCACTTACTCTCCCGCAGCTCTGCCCCAGAGCTCCGAGAGGCTGTTCCAGGTAATTGCGAAGGGCACCCATGTTGGTTGGCCACAGCTGCTTTCAAAGAAAGATTAATTTTCTCATATGAAATCTTTTTGACATCTTGAAAAACAGGACTCTCTAATCTCTTTAAAATGATTAAATACAGAGATATGACAAATCGTTAACTGAAGCTTGTAGTTTGTTAAATAGCAGACATTATTTATGTGTTTTATTTTTTGAGTTCTCTTTATATATTTATTTCTGGCTGCACTGCACAGCATGTGTAATCTTAGTTTCTACACCCCCTGCACTGGACCACTGAGGAAATCTCTATGTGTTTATTTTTTATGTGAATAACTGTTAGACTTAACACCTGAAGTTTTATTTCTGTTCAGGCTCTTTTGTAGAAAATGCAGTACTTTACCTCTATTCAAACACAGTATTCTTAATATTGTATAAACAGTGTTGTCTGATTTTTTATCTTCTGTGAATAATCTGAACTATTTCCCAACTCTTAAAAAGATTTAGAAAGGATTTTATATTTAGGAAAGTATCTTTTCTCAGACTTAAGATAAAATATTCCTACTATTAATTGGCATTGTAGCTTCATTTGTTTGATTCCCAGAAGCATCCCAATAGTATGGTTTACCTGTCTCTGGACGCAGGCTTGCCCTTGGCTGGGCACAATGCAGATGGAAGAAATGTTTCTTGAGTGTTCTCGCTTGAACTAATTATCATCCATCATTATACAGATGGTCCCCAGTTTACAGTGGTTCAGCTTAGGATTTTTTTACTTTATGGTGGTACAAAAGTGATCCACGTTTCATACAAACCACACTTTGAAGTTTGCTCTTTCCTGGAATGAGGGTGCGCAGTGGGATCCATTCTCAGTGATGGGGGCTGCCGTAAGCCCTTGTTTCCAAGCAGCCCTGTGGTCCTGCAGTGACCAGCCTGTGCAGCGAGCGTCCAGAGACACGGTGACTGTGAGCAGCCTGTGCAGCGAGCGTCCAGAGACACGGTGACTGTGAGCAGCCCGTGCAGCGAGCGTCCAGAGACACGGTGACCGTGAGCAGCCCGTGCAGCGAGCGTCCAGAGACACGGTGACCGTGAGCAGCCCGTGCAGCGAGCGTCCAGAGACACGGTGACCGTGAGCAGCCCGTGCAGCGAGCGTCCAGAGACACGGTGACCGTGAGCAGCCCGTGCAGCGAGCGTCCAGAGACACGGTGACCGTGAGCAGCCCGTGCAGCGAGCGTCCAGAGACACGGTGACTGTGAGCAGCCCGTGCAGCGAGCGTCCAGAGACACGGTGACCGTGAGCAGCCCGTGCAGCGAGCGTCCAGAGACACGGTGACCGTGAGCAGCCCGTGCAGCGAGCGTCCAGAGACACGGTGACCGTGAGCAGCCCGTGCAGTTGCTCTGGACACACAGTGTTGCGTTTCACACTCGGCGCAGCAGTCAGTGACTACCATGAGACAGTCAGCACTTACTGGAGAGCAGACTTTGTGTTAGATGATTTTACCCAACTAGGTTACGTGAGTGTTCTGAGCACGGTTAAAGTAGGCCAGCCTAAGCTATGATGTTAGGCAGGTTAGGTGTGTCAAATGCATTTTCAACTTGTAATATTTTCAATTTATGGTGAATTTATCAGGACAGAACCCCAGTGTAAGTCATAGAAGTGCTGTACCACTTTTGGTTCGGCACATCATTCTGCTGTTTGATTTTATTGCTTTTCAATTTCAAATTGCTCCCCCGGTGGCTCAGCAGGTAAAGGATCCACCTGCAATCCAGGAGATACAGGAGATGTGGGTTTGATCCCTGGGTCAGGAGGGTCTCCTGCAGAAGGAATGGCAACCCACTCCCAGTATTCTTGCCTGGAGAATCCCATGGACAGAGGAGCCAGTTGCTGACTTAGCAGCTAACGGGAATGAAACTTGCTATCTTGCTAGTTTGAAAACCAGTAGCATTTCAACCACATTTTAGTTCCTTAACTGTACCTTTTTTGAGAAGTTAGTTGTGTTTATAAGCAAATTTTTATCAGCAGTGCAAAAGAAATATAGCTGGAGGGAAGAAGTATTTCTCTGCCTTTCATTTTGAATCGGTTAGTTCTACCAGAAGATGGCATTATCGCCTTCTGAGAAGCATTATCCTATTGATTTGAAATGACCTTGCATTTTGGATTGCAAATAAAGTAAAACTAGATTTGTCCTAACACAAATCTGAATGTTTTTCATTCTCTTTTTTTTTTTTTGGCCATGCCACATGGCATGTGGGATCTTAGTTCCTCAGCCAGGGACAGAACCCACAGCCTTGGCAGTGAAAGCATCAAGTCAGAGGAGAGAAAATGGTCACTTATTTTGTTTACTTTTCTTTTTTCTTAAGGGCTATTCCTTTGTTGCCCCTTCCATCCTCTTCAAGCGTAATGCAGCCATCATGGATCCTCTTCAGTTTCATATGGGAGTTGACCGCCCCGGGGAGATGCACGTTGCAAGGAGCGCGATGCTGAAGGTACAGCCGCGTGGTGGTTAAGTGACCTGCTCGTGGTTTAAATACCCGCGCTAGTCGTGTTTCTCAAGTCCTGTAAATGTAGTAGACTTTCCATTTGACTCAAACCTAATTTTAAAAAGTGAATAAATGGAAATAGTGATATTTGCTCTAGAAAATTATCAATGTCCATTTGAAGGAGCTCCTTTTTTACAGCAGTAGAAAATGGTGCATTTACATAAGTGATAGAGATGTTAGAAACCAGCTAATGATGAATTTTTAAAGATTATAAACGTATTCCAGTCCTGCTTATGAACGTTCATAATGTTCTGTTACTCAGCAATTCTATCTGTCCCTGTGTGTGCCTGACATTTTCTTAAGTTAAATGGTGTTGGTTTCTTATCAGGACTCTCCATTCTATCAACACTATGACCTAGATCTGAAGGACACACCACTGGGAGAAGGAAGTTTTTCAATCTGCCGAAAGTGCATTCACAAAAAAAGTAACCAAGCATTCGCAGTCAAAATAATCAGCAAAAGGTATGCCCTTTTCTCATATATTTGTTCTAGTGGATGGATTCTCTAAGATCTTTATTGAAAAGGAAAGTAACAGTATGTTGTAAGGTTTTTAACCAAGGTTTTATCCATTCAGCTCATCAGTTGATCCATTATGCTTCTAGCTCTGACACAGTAATCCACTGTAGACATAAATCATAGTGTGATACGCTTCTGAGGTTATTACGAGAAGACTTTCTTGTGGCAGTGTTATTGAAACAGACTTGCTTAGTGAGCTCAGCAGCTGTTGCCATTCCTATTAGGTGTTCTATTTGAAATATTTTGTCTGAAATTATTAATATTTAGCAATCCACAGGTAGCTTTGAGAACTAGTTGTTTTGGTAACTGACTGTTACCTCCATGATGGTTTATTCTTATTACCAAATTGTCGAGCACATAGGGCATCCATTTCTTCATATGATTAAGCACTTTCCTGAATGAAATGAAATAATCATTTTTCTCAAGAATAATGCTTTACTTGTTCTGGTGGGTGTATGACTCACTGCTTTATGAAAGCCTCCTTCTGATACTTTGACACTCACATTCTGAATATGCTGTAAGCGAAAACAATCGGGGCTGGGGCTGTACTTCCAAAAGCCTGGTGGAGAGGAGTGTAGACACGGACTGCTTCATCTTTCAGGATGGAAGCCAGCACTCAGAAAGAGGTGACAGCTCTGAGACTCTGTGAAGGACACCCCAATATTGTGAAATTACATGAAGTTTTTCATGATCAGGTATTCAGCTTTTTTTTTTTTTTTTTTTGCTGTGCATACTAATTCATATGCAAGTTTCTACTTTTCAGCAGTGTTGTCGTTGCTTCTGGCGCAGAGTCAGGGATATGGGGCGTGACGCAGCCACTCGAGAGGTGAAAACCCACGTCGCAGACTCTCAGGCACCGGTCAGCGCCGGCCCCGCTTCTCTCACTGGTCGAAGTTGTGCAGGGCCTGGGCAGAGGGTGTGGGAGGGGCGTGGAAGCCCCGCGGTCCGCCCCCGCGCCTCTCAGAGCTGTTCCCTTCGCCTTCAGCCCGACGCTGTGACTTTGAGAGTGGAACTCAGCCTGAAGCCTCATTGCTGTCCTTCTTGTTTAGTTGCTAAGTTGTGTCTCTTTTGTGACCCCGTGAACCGTAGCCTCTCTGACCATGGCATTCTCCAGGCGCGAATACTGGAGTGGGTTGCCATGCCCTTCTCCAGGAGATCTTCCTGACCCAGGGATTGAACCCGGGTCTCCTGCATCGGCAGACGATTCTTTACCGCTCAGCCACCAGGGAGGCCTCCTTAGTGCCAGGTAAAGAGCAAATAGGAAGCAGAAGAGCAAAGACGCTCCCTGCCCTCTTCTCATTCCAGGGGTTCACACTCCCCCCGCTATCCCCTCGCCAGTCCCGCCTTCCGTCAGGACCCTCACCCAGGGAATGTCACTGTGGACACGGGGGGATGCTGTCGGGCCAGGTCCATGCCTCGCCCTCTGCAGACGTCGCTCCGCCGCAGTCACCCGTCCTCCCGACTGGGCGGGGCGGCACATTTGCGCAGCAGGCAGCGTGCCAGGCAGCAGAGCCGAAGCCAGCCCTGGGTGTGGTTGGCCCCGGCTTTACCCGTGAAGAAGCAGGTTCAGAAGGGCCGTGAATGTTTTCCCGCAGGGGGAAAAAAGAATCATGAGACTTAGCCAACCACAGTCACATAGCAAGTCAGTGAAAATCCCGCCGGAGAGCTGGTCTCCGGTTCTGGGCTCCCTCCAACGTGCTGCTCTGACGTGCACGTTGTCGGCAAGCTGTGGCCCAGCTCTCTGCCGCACTGAACTCCGCGGAGCGCCGAGGGCTCGCAGGACCCGGCCGGGAGACCCGCGGCGGAGGAGCAGCGAGACTGCGATTGCTGCTGTTTGTTACCGTGTGCCTAACGTGGTCCAGGCATCGCAGCTCTCATTCTACATGCAGCGTCTTATTCAGTCCTTACCATGACTCTGTGAAGTGGGAAAAGCAAAACTCACAGAAATGAAGTAATCGGGTCTCCCCATCTCTGACTGGTCCTTCTGGGATCTGAACCTACACAGTCCAACTTCAAAGCAGGCTTTTGATCACTGTGTCCTCCTGCCTTAGGGGAGGCAGATGCACAGTCTGGTTTTCGTATCAGGTGAGTGAGCACCCCAAAAATGACATTGTCCGCTTGCTCCTTGGTGCTTATATCAGAAAAGGAAGACCTCTGAATCAAGGATTGGGGGGACTGGTCTCCCTGCTCCTTCGCAGCCTCTGCCTCTTCGGGGTCCTCAACCGCAGTGCAGGAGGTGAGTCCCTGTCCCCTGGGGGTGCTTAGGAGGAGACAGGACGGCTTCCTGTGGGAGATGATTTGCACATCCATCCAGAGCTTGGTGGATGACCTTGACGTGCCCCTCCGTGGTTGCAGCTGTGCTCTGAGCTACTCCTCCCCCCACAAGGCTTTGGATCCCTGACCTTCAGGCCACCATCAGATCTCGGCAATTACACCCCTAATATTGTATTTATGTGACAAATTAACTTTATCATCTGCTGCTGTTATGTTCAAGAGTTACTAGAATAGACACCATCTCATGGGGAATTCCCCTAATGTACAGTAGTTGAGACCCCATCTTCCAGTGTGGGGGACGAGGCTCGGTCTCTGGCTGGGGCACTGAGATCCCACCTGCTCAGAGCAGCTGAGCCCACGTGCTACAGCGAGGGAGCCCCCCACACCCACACGGAGACCCTGCATGGCCAGAGCACCGTCTCATGATGGAATCCTGGGTGCACCAGTAGAGATACGCTGTTGTTCTCATATACAGTTGTTGATTACTTGGGTTGTTTTTTTCCCCCATAATGATGACACAGTTGCCTACATCATGCCACATCCAACACAGTGTGCTTTTCATCTCAAGATCCTTAATCACATCTGAGAAATCCCCTCATCATACAAGGTAGCACCCCTCAGTTCTGGGAGTTAGGATGTAGACATCTTCAAAGGGCCATTATTCAAGCTACCATATACAAGTTTTCCCCCATTATCTACATTTTTATTGGTAAGGGCACTAAAGTTCATGGAGGTAAAGCAACATCCACTGAGTCATAAGTAAGTCGCAGAAATGGCGTTCAGATGCAGGCTTGACTCTAAAGCCTATCTCTTAAGTCACTCTAGGTGTTGCCTCTCATTTGTTGAAAGCTTGCTGGCATACACTTGTAGCATACCTTTAGCTTTGACCTAATTTGGCTGATGTAGAAATTCAAGTTAGCATAGTCTCTAGTAGCCTGGGAGCAATTCTCTTTAAAAAAAAAAAAGGGTTATTCACCTTCTAGAATATGCCCACTGTGTGCAGGATAATGTATTTATGGCCATATTTTCTATGGTGCAGGTCCTCTGGACTTTGCTAGCTCGAAAGGAAGCGCGCTTTGCTTTGTTTGTTGGGTGACTGCGGTGTGACAGGCACAGCATTTGAATCTGATTATTGATAACTTTTTAAACCATTTGTGTTCATTGGAGAGGGGGTATAATTCCTTTGATTTTCAATAGCTCCTATGTTATTTTCTTTATGGAAATATATGCAAAATATAATAAGTATGTAACTTTTGATACTATTTAATTAAGATAATGCCTTTGGGATCAAAAGCAATTTTGTCTTTAAAAAGCCCATAGTGAGTTATGGGTGTTTGCTGTGAGAATTAACAGGAACCCTGAAACTAATCTGTGGAGCCCTAAGAGAAGATTTAAAGTGACATCATCCAATAATGCCTTTTTTTAAAAGTAAATTTGCCATTAAATGTGTGTGTCAGGCCTCTCGTGGGCAGCGTGTTCCATCAGTAATCTTCTATATTATTTAAAGCAGCCAATTTCACATTATTATCAGTACGAGGTCACACTTTAAAAAGAAACATATGTAAACTCGATAGAGAGGGTTGGAATGCAGTTCAGCTGAAAGAATTCTTGGAGGAAAGGAGACATAAGGTTTTCACTGCAGTGCTTGAAATTTTCCATTACTGAAATAGAACTCTAAAAAAGACACATTATCCTTCAACTCTTTCCTCTAAAATGCAAGGATCACTGTTGATTATTTTAACAAGGGACTATTTAAATTTATCAGTTACAATTCATAGTCAGTAAATGTTTTATGTGTTGATCAGGCTCTCCTCCTCTTCAGTAAGGCCCTCCACATTGTTCTTTCTTTTCTAGCTTCACACATTTCTAGTGATGGAACTTCTGAACGGGGGAGAGCTGTTTGAACGCATTAAGAGAAAGAAGCATTTTAGTGAGACGGAAGCCAGCTACATCATGCGGAAGCTTGTTTCAGCTGTTAGCCACATGCATGACGTCGGAGTGGTACACAGAGATCTGAAACCCGAGGTATAAAATCATATAATGCAATCTAGCATCATTATTAAATGTCCCCTAGACATGTGTGGGCTTTTTTTGGGGGGGGGGTATTTTCAGGGATTTTTTCTAAATAGATACTTGCAAATACCATGTTTCTTGGATTTTTTTCCTATTCTATTTCAGTCTAAAATAAATCTGTCTTTTCTTTTTTTTGCCAGCTGATCATCTCGAGGTTATATTTGTAAGTGTGAGAGCCTTTTATGGAAGAAATACTTTATGCAACAGTTGTGGACTAAAAATAGCAATGGAAATTTTTGTAGCAGGAAATAATATCTCTCCTATATGTATACCATTTTAGAGGGATTTTTTTTTAAATGGTTGCATTTTGAAAGCTTATCTTTCACTTTCATAATCAAATTGATGAGCTCATTAATCGGGACGTATATAATCCTGTTTTGAATATTAAAGCATTTTCTTGGTTTAATTAGTTACGTGATCTTTACATGTGCTTTTCTTTGCTCACCTACTGCAGTATTTATAGAACTATGTAGCAGTGCAGAAGTAGCAGCTTTTCATATATTTTTTCTTTCAAAAGGTAAGAAAGAAGGGTCTAACTCTAGAATAATCCCTTTTTAGTATCAAAACTGTGAAAATTCCTCCCTTTTAGAAAATCATCAAAATAATAATGCAAATTGAAAAACAAAACCCACTACTTTATGAAAGGAAAACAGTGAATCATCCTTTACCATAGGCAAAATTATATATATTTACTCTCTGAAATAGAATTTCAGTTTTAATTGCTATGTGATTGTAATGCATTTTCAAGTATATTTAAAATAATAATTTGGTACTTATTTTTGTGTTAGACTATGAAACAATCTCTCTCAAAAAGCACCATTTATGCGTTTTGGTTAAGTACCTTAGGTTACTGGTAGGATGAGGATGTTTTGAAAATGGAATTCTCTGGATATAACTGACTGATTCCTAAAGTATTTAAACTTCTGTGTACTTTCTATTATTGTTATTCCTATTACTCGTAATTAATCAAAAGTGAATTGTGCTTTATGAGCTGGCAGCTATGATAGCCGCCCCTCTGCTTCCTGCATCACAGTTCTCACTCTCCCACACTACGCCCACTGAAAATATGGCACTCCGTACATTGGAGATTAACTGTCTATTTTTAAATGTGAACACATACCACTTAAATGCTTTTTTTGATAGACAAGGAACAAGCATGTAATTTTTTTAATTGAAAAGATCTGTTCCATGACTGTCTAGAATTCATTTTCACATGTTTTATTCTTTGATAACTGGCCATCTGTCCCCTCATGAGCCTCAAACAATGCAACTGTCCTCTCCAACAGAACTTAAATTCGCCTTCCGATTTTACTGATTAAAAAAACACTCACATAGCTTTGTTCTTATCTGTTAAAAAGATTTTTTCAAGTAGGCATTTAAAAAGTAGAACTGTCTCATTATATAGGACATCCTGCTACTGTGATAGCCCTAAACTAACACGTGTTTTGGAGACATGAAAATGTACCTTTGTACTAACATTGTCATAATAAAATGGCTTTCACTTTGACTTTTAAGTGGCTGATTATTATTTTCAAGCCAAAAGTTTAATCCCTTCCACATTGATAGCATTTCAAGATCTGTTTATGTCTCCTTTGGTAGCTATTTATGTGGTATTCATATTCTACACAGGCAAGATAACTTCTAGGTGGTGAGAATCAAATAAATTTAGAAGCTGGCTGACATTCTTAGTAGGCTGCTTTGTATGTTTCAAACTGATCCCCATATTCTTGAAAGATTGAGAAATTTTATCAAATTAGTTCCTGGCACATCTTGAGACAAGGACATAAGTGGTTTGAGTGGTGACTTCCTGCCACTCCTGACCATGTACGCCCAGCTCCACTTTGAGAATTGGGAGAGGAGTGAAGAGGGGAATGCCACGTCTCCTCCGTTTCAAGATCTGTGAACAAGGGAGTCCTTAGCCAGTCTTGGTATAGGAGACACTGAAGTCCTTGCCAGAGACTTTCAGGCTCAGCGGGGACAGGCCGGGCGCCTCACCCGCTGCTCTGCGCCGCAGCCCAGCGCCTTCTGCGGCAGGAGAGCCCGGGGCCACCTGCTGGGCGCTCTCCAGGTTCTCCTGCCTGAACGCCAGTGTGACTGCAGCTGTGGCGAGGCCTTCCATTGAATTATATTCACATTTAAGTTCCATCAAAAATTCAGGATTAAGCATTTAGTATGATAGAAAATTTAAGAAAACCTTTCAGCTAATTTTTTTTGTTTTTCCTCCCACTTCATCCATTTTTAACTTTTGAAAGGGGGCCTAGAAGATTTTTCTTCTTTGTATCAATGAAGCCTTCTATGATACATTTTCTTTCACTTTGAGTAATATTAAAAAGCAAATGATGTTCCAGAGCTGGGGCAATAATTTAATGTTCATACTAGATTTTGTTAGGATGGCTAAAGACAATATTATCAGATTCACTTACTGTGGGTACTAGCTTGATGTACTAATAAAAATGATGATTTGCACACCAGTATAGTTAGATTGTTTAAACAAGTGGTAAATACAGAAGTAGTCAGGGACTTCTCTGGCAGTCCAGTGGCTAAGAAGGGAACTCCCAGTGCGGGGAGCGTGGGCTCGATCCCTGGTGGAGGAACTAAGATCTTGCATGCTGCGTGGTACAGATAAAAACAAAACAAAAGGAATCAGTAAAACCTTAGTGATTGAGAAGGCTTGGAAAATACGTTTTCTGAATAATAGAGGGATAATCTCCATAAGCATCAAAAAATATTCAAGTATTAACTGTTTTGGAAAAAATATTTCTGAAATGCATGGCTCCACCATGTATTCTTTAATAGGTTTTACCAAATATTGTTAACTGTTTTGCTAGATATTCTATAACTATTTTATTTGAATTCATTCAACAGACAAATATTTACCAAACCACCTGCTACGTGAGAAAGTCACGAGTAAGATAGACACAGTTCTTGGCCTCATGGAATTACGGTCTAATATGGGTGAAGACATTGAACTAATATTGCAGAGCTGATAAATGCCAGAAAAGAACAGTAAATGCTAGAAGAAAATATAATAGTTTTCAGCTTCAGTTTGGTGACATCTCTAAAGGAGGATTAGATGCCTGAGAGCCAGGTTGGAAGGGAGGTTGGTGGAAGAAGTAGAAGACAGGCCACAAGCAAAAGATGAAGAAGGGGCATGACACCATTGGGAGTGTCCCTTGTAAACTCGAGGTGGTCCAGAAAGCTAAAGCAGAGAGCAGCGGATGCTGGGATCCCACTCCTAACCCACCGAGTCAGATCTCTGTGTCTGAGTCCAATGTAAATATTAATAGATAATGTTGCAAAATGCCTCTCCAGGGCCCCTGACATTTTAATGAGAAACTTTTTATCTTGCAGAATTTATTGTTTACTGATGAAAATGACAATTTGGAAATTAAAGTCATTGATTTTGGGTTTGCACGCTTGAAGCCACCTGATAATCAGCCTCTGAAGACGCCGTGTTTCACTCTTCACTATGCTGCCCCAGAGCTCTTGAATCACAATGGCTATGATGAGTCCTGCGACCTCTGGAGCTTGGGCGTCATTTTGGTGAGTTTGTATCGGCCACGCCATCAACCCCTTCGGTTCTCTGTGTCCCCTGCATCTCTCCCTTTGCTGTCTGTCTGTCTTTTTTCTTCCCCACTGGGATATAATTGCTTTACAATGTCATGCTAGTTTCTGCTATACAATGAGGTGAATCAGCTACATGTGTACATACATCACCCTGTCCTCTCACACCCCCATCCCACCCCTCTAGGTTTTTCTTAAATTCATTAAAAAAAATTGGCAAATTGATTTCTTTTCTGCACAAACAGTAAAAGGCCTGACTGAAGACTATTTCCCTTTCTTAAAATTTATATTGGAGAAAATGTAGGAATTTTTATTTTGGTTTATTTAGAATATTTAAGGCAACTGTGTTTTGTGTGAAATACAGTTATATATATGTATTTTTAAAGAAGCAATAGTCTATTTTCATAAGCTATGCATATTAGATATAATATGGAACTAGCAAAGTGACTCATTAATGGAAAAATATTTAAAAGTATATTCTCTGAGATTTTCAGCCCAAAAAGCAATTGAGGAATATCACTTAGGATAAATTAACAAATTAATAAATAAAATTTAAAATATTCACAGTAACTTATAGTAATCATGGTAAGCATGCTTTTCACAAAACCTCCTTGGCAGCCAGGATCAGAAACAACATGAGCTAGAAAAATCTCAGCATGTTTTTTTTCTTTCCTCAAAATAGCTTTATTTTTTCTGCATACAATTTGTAATGCTTAATCATAGGGAGAAGTTTTCAGACATAGAGAAAGATACAAGGAGCAAGGTGAAACCACGTGTAATCTCATCATATAGAGATGATATTGTATAAGCTCTTCCCCTCTGCCTGCCCCTCCCCCATATTATGTATGCTGCATATCTTTCTACACGTTTTTCTGTATGTTTGTGTATATATATTTAGGTTTTTTTAACAAATGAGATTATGTGATATGTAGTTTGGGTCTCCAGAGTTTAACATTTCTTTACTAATGAGCAGTTAGAATTTTCTAGCCTCTCACTAATTATAAGCCACACAAATGAATATTTTTGATATATGTACTTGCATTGATCTATTTCCTTAGACTAGACTCCTAGGAGAGGGGTATATACATCCTTATTTTGACATATATGGCTGTATTTCCTTCTAGAAGGTTTCCAGATCATGTTCTCATCAGCTGTATGTGAATACATGGGATACTATCAATTTCAGTCTAAATTACTTCCTATGGTTATTACAAGTTGCATGCATTTTCTTTGATGAGTATTTAGTGTGTGCATCTTTTCATGTATTTGAACATTTTAATTTTCTCTTTTATGAATTGCTGTTTATGAGTTCTGCCTACTTTCCCATGGGGAAATTTTTCATATTGAAACTTAAAGCTCTATTAAGGATTTTAATCCTTTGTCAGACATTAATGTTGGAAATGTTTTTTCTGGTTTGCCATTTCTTTGAAAACTTTGCTCACAGTTATATGAGGTTTTAATTTTGTCTTTAGAGAGGTTTAAATAGAAGCTTTTTTAATTTTTATGTTTTAATGGAGAAATTAAAAAAAATTTATGTAAAAAATTTTAAAAATGAAAAAAACATATCTATTTAAACCCCTCTAAAAGCAAAATTCAAATATGTTGGGCTTCCCAGGTGGCACTAGTGGTAAAGAACCTGCCTGCCAGTGCAGAAGACATAAGAGACACGGGTTCAATCCCTGGGTGGGGAAGATCCCATAGGGAAGAGGGCATGGCAACCCACTCCAGTATTCTTGCCAGGAGGATCCCATGGAGGATCCCGTGTAGCCTAGTGGGCTACAATCCATAGGGTCACAGAGTTGGACACGACTGAAGAGACTTCACGCAAGATGTGTCAGTCTTTTCCTTTATGGTATCTGGCTTTGATGTCAGATTGGCACTCCAACTGCAGCCCTCTTAATTTCCCTTTGGGACGATATTTATTTCTGTGCTCATCCCTCCATCTGGGTTTATTTTGGTGTCAGTTTGTCTTCCCCCAGTGGCAGCCAGTTGTCCTTGCAAGATGGTTCTTTTATTTTTAAGCTATAGGTTTTTATTTCAGCAGTTTTAAGTCATCATTTATAATTTGCAAATTAAACTACATATTTATGAGTATGATTTAAACAGCTAACTTCTGTAGATTTGAGTTTTGTTTGACTTAAACTGATTACAGTAGCACTCTCCTAAAAAACTCATCTAAATAAAAAAAGAGCCTTTCTTTTTTAGCAATAATACAGGACTTCCCCCTTGTAAAAGAGCCTTTACTTAAATACAGGCCAAATGTAATTATCATGCTTTTTCAGGTTTTAAAAGACACTCTTAGACATGCAGACAGGTATTTTAGAGCCTCCAAATGCCTTATCTATGGAAATAACCTCTTGTAATGGCTGGAGAGAAGCCAGGCTTCTTTCTAGATGTAATTGCCAACTCTTAAACAGGAGTAGGAAAGAACAGATTAAAGGATACCACCAGTGTATAGTCACAGTGCGCAGACCGCTGGAGTTCTACAGGGTAAACAACCGCATTACTCCAGCAAGTAAGTCATGAGAAAAGTAGACTGGGAACCTGTAGATTAAAAGACACTTAAGAAACGGTGTTTACATTTTACTTGAATTCATTTTACTTCAAACAAATTCTAATTTTAACTATATTTGTTAAATTCAAACTCTGTCATACAAATGTGATTATATTAGCATGCAGTGTGTATAACACAATTGAGGGAATTTGATTATTGACTGGATATTGGATGATACAAAGGCATTACTGCTAATTGTTTTTCAGTGCAGTCATAGGTTGTGGTTGTGGGATTTTAAAAATCCTTGCCTTTTAGAGATACAAAATGAAATACTGGGTTGGCCAAAAATTTCATTCAAGTTCTGTTACAGCCCATGGAAAACCCGAACAAAGTTTTTGGCCACTCCAGTACTTACATAGAAAAAGCTAAGTTAGCGCCTGCATTAAACTGTCCAAGGAAAAAGAAGGCCTTGTAAACTCTTCCATATAATGAGTGCTTCTCCCCAGAGGATCTAGATTTGAGCTGTCCCATAGTAGGCACAAAATTTATTTGGAGTTGTTTGCCTTAGAAGTCTGTGACCCTTTGACATGTTGCATGTGATGAACACAAATTTGGATACTTTAATATGAAGATAACTTATGTTATCGTCACTGGGTAAAGCAAATACTTGAGAAAGATGCATCGTGTCACACGTGTGGCTTTGGTTACAACTCAGTCTACCTCATGGATGAGCAGTTCATTGGAAGCACTCAGGACTCTGATTAAAATAGAGCTTACCCGGTGTCTTAGTCTGCTCAGGGCCGCCGTGACGGAACAGTGCACACAGGGTGACTTGAGCAGCAGAGTTTTATTTCACAGTTCTGGAGGCTGGGAGGTCCAGTTCCAGGGAGCCAGCAGGCTGGTATCTGGTGAGGGCTCTCCCCGCTGGTTGCAGACAGCCACCTGTTCATGGGGGCCTCATGTGGCCTCTCCTCGCGTGAGCTCGGGGAGAGAGGAGGCCAACTCCCTGGTCTCTGCAAGGACACCCTCGTGGATGAAGGTCCTGCATCCCCATTACCTTCACCTCCGTAAAGGTCCTGTCCTCAATTCAGCCACGTTGAGGAGAGTGTGACTTTTCAGCACATGAATTTTTAAGGCACACAGTAATTCAAAGCTTAACAGACAGTGTTTAGAAAATGTAGCATAGGATTATATGCTATAGCATACCCATGGGATGGAATATAATAATGATTAAAACATATTTCTTCCAAGTGTTTTATTCGGGATTTCATATTTTTCTACTTTATTCAGGATTTCGTATTTTTCCACTTTCTTCTCAAAATTGTATTTTGAAAATTTCAGGCCTAGAGAAAATTTGGGAGAAGAACACAGTAAACATTTAGCATGTTACCACATTTACTTTTGCTTTCTCCCCAACTCCTTCTTGTGTGTGTATACATACACACACACACATACACACACATATCTTTATGTATATAGATAATTTCTTATCACAACCTTTGCCAACAGTTTGCAGACACAGAATTATTCTTAACAGAAGTTGATTCCTGGATAATCAACTAAATTCTAAGATCTTGGAGTTGAGAGGAGCCTAAAGTTGTCTAATTCTAGCTCTTCCAGAAAAGGGATCTTTCTACAAAGTCCCTATCACCACTCTCCTTTAAATATTTCCAAAGATGGTGAATTCATCTTTCCACCCAACAGCTTGTTGAATTATTTACACAGCAGAGCAAGAAAACTCTAATAGAAAGGATACTTCTTTATGTTTAGTCATCCATGTATGTGTTAGGAAGTGGGGTAAGATTAATTAGGGGAGCAGATTTTTGAAAACCGTTTCGCAGTATCTGCTGAACTCGCAGACCAAATGACCCAGCAGTTTCCATCTCAGGGATGTAGCCAACAGAAATGTCTATTTCTATGGACCAGAGAGATGTGCACAAAGATACAGAGCCACAGGCTTCAGGGTGCTGCAGATTGGAAACAAGTCAAATGTTTATCAACAAGAGAAAGCTATTTTAGCCTGGGTTCCCGTGGAAAGTAGAACCTGAAGTGAAAGCTTACGTTTTGTCATGTTCCTAAGGACCAGACCTGGAGGCTCAGCTGGTGAAGAACCCGCCTGCGATGCGGGAGACCTGGGTTTGATCCCTGGGCTGGGAAGATCCCCTGGAGAAGGGAAAGGCTACCCACTCCAGTATTCTGGCCTGGAGAATCGTCCATGGGGTCACAAAGAGTCAGACACGACTGAGCGACTTTCACTTTCACTAAGGACCAGAATCCCAGGGAGGCAGGAGGGAGGCAGGGAAGAGGCGAACAGAGGTAGGTGAGTTGCCACCTACTGTCCCCAAGTGGAGCTGAGCAGGTGTGCTCACAGAACAAATACCTCTTAATAGCAGACCGTAATGCTGCAGGAAGAGGAAACATGAATTCTGTGAGCCCTGCACCCACAGCACCTAGGTATGGGGGACCCAGCACCAATGGATCGCCACTGATTCTCAAGGACAGAACTCCAGCCCCACCCTGAGCTGGTGTCGTCACGAGCTTTCCATATGCTTGACACTGCCCAAGAGAAAGAATGCCAGTCTGTCCGACAAGTAGGCCCAGTTTCCTCTCTTCTTTCATCAGCTGATCACTGGGATCCCTCCTCAGTGAGGTCGTAGGTGTGAGTTAGGGACCAGGCCTTGGTGCACCAGAGAGGAGGGGTGGCATGCGCCCATGCACTACCTTGCAGCACCTCTGGCCCTCCTCAGGTCGACTGTGAGCGCGCCGTGTACACGGCACAGCTTGCAGCACTGGCTTTATGAGTCAGGGCGTCTGCTCGTCCCAGCTCACAGCTTTGTCCGAGCTTCAGGAAGCATTTCAGCTGACTGCTCTCACTGGCTCCAGGCATCCTTGCCAGGATGTTGAGTCTTGAGTCTCAAACAAGTGTTTCCGTGGCAGTAATTTCTCCATCAGGTCTCTTGTCCCATCAGCCCACCCTAGTTCAGCATCTTCAGAATCCGTTCTCTTCTGTGTCCCCTGACCCCGCCTCGGCCGTTTTAGCCAGGGCCCAAAGTTCCTCTGGTATATGCACATTCCACTGTTAACGTCATCTTTTGAAATGATTAGATTATCCCTTTTTTATTCTTCTTGTCCTGAATATAGCTATAAAAATGGTTTTAAATCTTGATATCATAGTAAGCCATTTCTTTTTATCTACAAGTCTGAAATGTATTTGTTGTTTCAGTGATCAAAGTCATGTAATCTTTTAAACTTAGTAATGCTGATTGTAATATTTGGGAAATTATGCTGACGAAGTTAGTAATGAAATAACCAGAGTGGCTTTGATGGTGATTTTGGCAGACATTCTGTTTTGCTCTTTTTTTCTTGATAGTATACAATGTTGTCAGGGCAAGTTCCATTTCAGTCTCATGATAAAAGTCTGACATGCACCAGTGCAGTGGAAATCATGAAGAAAATTAAAAAGGGAGATTTCTCCTTTGAAGGAGAAGCCTGGAAGAATGTATCCCAAGAGGCTAAAGATTTGATCCAAGGTAAGAATCTAATGAAAAATTTTATATGATGTATAGCGATTGAAGTGGAACCATACCTGTGATACATATATTTGTTTGTGAATTATTCAAGAATCCCTGTGTGTTTAAGGATTCAGGCTACTCTGTTCAGCCTCAGCTTCGTATCAGGACACCCTCCGTCAACAACCTCATCCACATTCACAGCCTCAGTCTCACACCTTCAAAGGGAACTGCTTCCTCTTTCCTCTCCTTTCCCCCAGGCACATGCGTCCTCCTCTCCCTCTTGTTTTCGTGGCAAAGACCCTCGACCCCCACCACCTTCCTCGCAGCCAGGCCCTGGGCGCTGGGGTTCAGCATCGCTGCCAGCTGCCTCTCCCCCCAATTCTCAGGGCTCTCATCTGAGGTCTGGTCATAGCTCTTTCCTAACATTCACAACGTGCTTTCAACTTACTACTTGCTCTGGCTTTATTTGTCTGTCGTCCATCGGCTCAGGGCCTTCCTAATATCCAGATGCAGTCATACCTTTTTTCTGTTAAAAGTTCTTCAGAGAATGCCAGTGAGCTTTAGGTCAGACTCCCTAGTGGAGCCTTCACAGCCTGGTTCTGCCTCCCTCTGTTTCCTGTCACGCTCACACCAACAGCTGTTGTCCAGTCACTCAATTGTGTCCAACTCTTTGCGACCCGATGGACTGCAGCACGCCAGGCCTCCCTGTCCATCACCAACTCCTGGAGTTTACTCAAACTCATGTCCATTGAGTCGGTAATGCCATCCAACCATCTCATTCTCTGTCGTCCCCTTTTCCACCTGCCCTCAATCTTTCCCAGCATCAGGGTCTTTTCCAGTGAGTCAATTCTTCGCGTCAGGTGGCCAGAGTATTGGAGCTTCAGCTTCAGCATCAGTCCTTCCAGTGAACACTCAGGGTTGATTTCCTTTAGGATGGACTGACACTATGGAACACCTGGATTCTTCCAATGTGCTGAGTTTTCATGCTCTGTTCACCCTTACTCGTGCTCGTCCTAATCCTGGGACTCACTTTGTCATCGACCCCTGCCCATCCCTCAGGACTCATCTCCTGGAAGCCTCAGGGTGCCCACCCCCCAGGGAGGAGCCCTTCCCCAGAGTCTGCTGCACACGTGTCCTCAGATGGGATAAGACCTCACACACAGCTCCTCCCAGAGCCTCCATCTGCACGTTCCCTAACCTGCGGAAGGTGTTTGTCCACGAGTCAAGTAGATCTCAGTGCTCTTTGTTTGGAGGGGGTTTGCCTGGCCCCTGGTGGGAGTCCTTGTTTCAAGTGGTTATTTTCACCGGATTGGAAAGCCCTGCTAGCCTGCAGCCTCCTGGAAACAGGCTACTGTGGGCTTCACTGTTAGCAGCCAGTGTTCACCAGGGAATCTCAATGGAGATGAAAATGGAGGTAATTATCCTTGTAGGAGGTTGACGCCATATAGAAACCATCACGTCTTGTGAACATAATTGAGATTTCTGAGGTTGATTTTAAACTATGTTTGAAATGACAGCTCATGAAATAAAAATATCTTATTTATTCCCATAGGACTCCTCACAGTCGATCCAAACAAAAGGCTTAAAATGCCTGACTTGAGATACAATGAATGGCTTCAAGATGGCAGTCAGCTGTCGTCAAATCCTCTGATGACTCCAGACATTCTGGGCTCTTCAGGAGCCGCGGTGCACACGTGTGTGAAAGCCACCTTCCACGTAAGGCTCCGGCTCTGCGCTCCTGGGTGGTTTGAGAAGGGACTGGATGTCCTTACTCTGTAACCTCAGAGGCACGCTCTTGGGCGGACAGTTTTTAAAAAGGGTTCTTTTAATTTTAGATATGCTTTTATAAATCCCTTCATGACATAAACACATTTCTGAACAGAAAGTGCATGGGGACCAGAGTCATCACAAACCCACAAAATATTTATTTGACATTTGGGATGAGGCAGTTGTCTGATATTTGAATAGTTGAAGTTTTTCAGTCACTAAGGAAAGCAATATGCATATTATTAGAACTTTCTCAAAAATGTTCTTTTGTTGAAGGTTAGTTGATTTTACAATCTTGTATTAATTTCTGCCGTGCAGCAGACTTGATTCAGTTACACATATATATAAACACTGCTGTATATTTGTTTTCACCTTCTTTTCTATCATGGTTTATCACAGGGTATGAATATAGTTTCCTGTGCTGTACGGTAGGGCTTGTTGTTTATTGAATTCTATACCTATAATGGTTTGCTTCTGAAACCCAAACTCCAGTCCATCCCTACGCAGCTCTCCTTCCTTCTTGGCAACCATAAGTCTGTACTAGCACTTTTGTTCTCTCTAAATAAGCCAAATCACTGTCTGTAGAAACCATAAATAAGCGTTGGAAATTAAGGCACCTGCGAAAGTCCATCCCTTCAACAGTCATTTTGTGCATAATTTTATTGTTCTAGAAACTGAGGGATAAGAAGTAAATTAATTTAAAAAAGAAGTAAATTAATTGGTATTAAATAGTAAATATTGTGTTCTTGAAAGGCTGAGACTACATAGCAATAAATGTAGATTCTGGCACACTCGTGCCAAACAGATGCAAGTACATTAAGATAATTGTCTAAGGAGCAGAGGAGTTAGAAATAACATTACTTCTGAGAGGATTATCTTGAGGAAGGAGACAGGATAGCATTTCCTCTTGGCTGCAGAAATGGATTAAAAAACTAATGAACTGGGATCTGGTGAGGCGTGAAGAGATTAACGGCAGGGTTTGCAGATGATCCAGATCTTCTCGGTGGCATGTGAGGCAAGATTGTCACCTCAGCAATGCCTAGGCCTGAATCTGAGAAAAGTAGAGACGGGCTGCTGTGAGGAGGAAGCCAGGATGAGGTCTGTGGAGCTCATCTCTGCATATTATCGTGTCCAGGACTGCACTGACTACTGATATGGGCGTGGAGGTCAGGGGCTCTGTGCTGGGACTTTGTGGTTGGAATCTTAAAGCTCAGGATGAGTCAAAGTAATGGGGGGAAGGGAGTGAGATTGCTGACATTCTCCAGGAATTTCCAGTCAGTCAGTGGTTCCTTTAATTGAGAGGTAGCACTCCCCTCTTCAAAAGATTGATTAGAGTTGGGACTCCTGGACAGCCTCGCTGGTGGGTTTCAGGAGGGCCCTCAGAAACGCTTCCCTGTCGACTGCTGCGCCCTCCTGCAGTTGTAGATGCAGGGGCTCAAGGACCATGCTCCCAGGGCTTCCCTGCTGGCCCACCTCATGCTCAGTAAGGAGTCTGCCCACAATGCGGGAGACCTGGGTTCCATCCCTGGGTTGGGAAGCTCCCCTGGAGAAGGGAAAGGCTACCCACTCCAGTATTCTGCCCTGGAGAATCCCATGGGCTGTATAGTCCATGGAGTTGCAAAGAGCCGCACACGACTGAGCGACTTTGACTTTCACTTTCCTAGGACAAGCTGGAGCTGTGGTTGCCAACCACGCATTGTCTGTAAGTCGTAACTGCGAGGAAGACTTCAGTCCTTTCACTTGCGTGGCGGTTCCTCCTTATTTTTTTTCTTCCCTTGTTATTCAGTCTCTCAGTCGTGTCTACCTCTTTGCGACCGTATGAACTGCACCACACCAGGCCTCCCTGTCCTCCACTGTCTTCCAGAGTTTGCTCAAACTCATGTCCATGTGGAGAAGGAAATGGCAACCCACTCCAGTGTTCTTGAATCCCAGGGATGGGGGAGCCTGGTGGGCTGCCGTCTGTGGGGGTCACACAGAGTCGGACATGACTGGTGCGACCTAGCAGCAGCATGTGCACTGAGTCAGTGATGCCATGCAACCATCTCATCCTCTGTCGTCCCCTTCTCCTCCCGCCTTCAGTCTTTCCCAGCATCAGGGAGTCGGCTGTTGGCATCAGGTGGCCAAAGCTTCAGCATCAGTCCCTCCAGTGAGTGCTCAGGGTTGATTTCCTTCAGGATGGACTGTTTGATCTTGCTCTCCTGCCCTAGGCCTTCAACAAATACAAGAGAGAGGGGTTCTGCCTGCAGAACGTGGACAAGGCCCCGCTGGCGAAGAGGCGGAGGATGAAGAAGACGAGCACCAGCACCGAGACGCGCAGCAGCTCCAGCGAGAGCTCGCGCTCCTCGTCCTCCCACTCGCAGGGCAAGCGCACGCCCCCCGCGGCGCCGCAGCCTGGCCCGCCTGCCGAGGGCGGCGCGCCCGAGAGCCCGCTCCAGTTCCCGGACTGAGCGCCGCGGCGCCCGGGGCCAGGCCTGTGCTCCGAGCAGCGCACCCCGCCGGGCACGCTGGCGCCTGCCCCGTGGGGGGTTTCCCAGGAAAGCCCAGTTGGTCGTCCTCGTCCAGAAGCACCGGCGGAGAACGGGACTGAGTGGAGCGCACGGCATGCCGTTAGTGGCCGGGATGACGCCCGCACGACTGTCCTGAGAGGGCAGAGACGTCTGTCCGTCTGAGTGGGGCCGGTGAGGTTTGAGCTGCTGACAGTAGGTCACCAGGTCCTCAGAGGTCCGCCAGCAGGAGTTCCTAGGACTGTGATGATACCTGTTGCTTCGCCTTGTGGGCATTGTGGGTTTTTAAGAGATATGCATCCTTTGAACAGTGATTGATCAGAAAAAAAAAAAAAAGGTCTAACTGTTTTCCAAAAGATTCTGTCGTGAATTTTATGTGTGGTGTATACTTTTTTCTTGAGAGAGGATTTTAACTTATTTTTATTTTATGGCTACCTATGACGATAACCTACTATTACTAATCTTTTTCTAAAAAGTAAAATGAAAGGCATAAGAAGGTCCCATGCTTTGTATTGGGGACCTCTCTGAGATGCATGCTCAGCTACGTATGTTTTTACTTTTGCACTGCTCTTTCCTGGCAATTTGTTTTCATGGTTACTGCAAAATATTAAGGTACATGTCTCTGTTTAAAGTAATATTGCACTTTATAAAAAAACGTGAATAAAGCAAGCTGTTTTATAAGGTGCACTCTAAAGCATATGTGCTGTATTTTTGCCTTTTTCCCCATTATCTGCCTTGTCTGCCCTCACATCCCCCTTCTACCCAGGACGCAGCGTGGCAGGGCTGTGTGTGTGGCGTGAGCTTCAGCCGCCGCGGCACTGCTGTGATGAGACCCGAGTGGGCATCCTCCTGAACACTGTGCTCATTTGTGCGCTGTGCCGTGCTGCAGTGAGGCTCTCCTCCTGTGGTCAGGTTACGTACCTAATACTTTAGAGTCGCACCTATGACTTGTGTGGAAGTATTTCTGTTCAATTTTAAATCCAGAAAGCACATTTTATAAACTTATGCAGAGCGCTTGTATTGCTCAAAAGTTCCGAGTTCATAACCGAGAACAAGTGCTGTGTGCTGAGGACGTTTTACTGGATGATTGCTGCATTTTAAAATGCGATTGATTCATTCCCTATGCAAAAGAAGAAGTGGTAGGACTTGTGTGTTGTATTTTTTTTAAGCCATCACACGAAATGTCAGGACTGAGAAAAGTGATTTTTTGCTATGTTTACAGGAATAATTTTAAAAAGGTAATGCCCAATATGTTTATTTTGTCAGTTTTGTTAACAATAACCTCTTGAGCATTAGTTTGGAATTGGGCATGATATTTATTTATTCCTTTCTTGAGATAATAGCAGCATTAATTTCAACCAGTTATGAATACTAAAAATATTGCACTCTATGTAATAGTAGCATATTTATTACTGAACCAATGTATATATTAATAGCACAAGCAGCAAAAATGGCAAATATTAAACTATTTTCAAAATGTATTATCCTGTCCACATTTTTGTTCACAGTGATTATCGGACATAACTTTTATACTTTTCAGTGGCCCAAATGGCTGCATAATTCTCGAGTCAGTGAAAATTTTGTGCTTCTAGCTTTTGGTCCTTCTTAGTAATAGTGGGAAATCTGAGGTACATTATTACCAAACTCTGAGGCTAATTCACAGACTGTGATTCCATCAGGCACAGAGTTAAAATAACCAAGAAAATGTCCATTTATAGCTATAGTAAGGCTGACTATATCTAGAAGTGTGTGAGTTAGCTCCGAACATCTTTAAAACTGTGCATTCTAGGAACAAACACTAATAAGGTGTAAACTACAGAGGCTTTGTTGCAGAGGAACAGTGGTCCAGAAAGACAGTTGGTGTGCCTGATGCTTGATGGCATAGGCAGTGCATTGTGAATGTTGGAAAGTCATGAGTTTCACGTGCATTTATTACCTTTGCCAGTTCTGGAGGACTTGACAGAATGAAATGGTAAAATGGCGGGCAGAACACGAGGAAGGAAAGAGAAAGCTGGTTTATCAACTGCTGGGCTTCCTTCATAATCTCGAGTGGCCTTGAGGAGAGTTCGGAGCAGGGCCCATGGGGAACGTGTCCATCCTCACGCTCCGTGTAAACCCACCTGCAGTGTCACTGAGCTGCACTTTGAAATTCACGAAGCTTTCATGTAGTCACAAAAAAGCGTAAAAAATACTTCATATGAAAACGTTAAGTGAAAGGACTTGTCTTTGGTATTAGGAGAAGAATAGAAGTAGGTTTAAGACGAACAGATATGAATTAAATTCTCTGTGTGATAGTTTTGGAGATAGAACCAAGTCACCCCTTCCCTTCCTCCCTCCTGGCCAGTGTGTAGTTTTCATACCATTATACGCGCTGACTCATGCATTCTGTAACTGTCCATGGCTAACTGAGAGGTGGGAATAAGAAAAGGAAGCAGTAGAGGAAAGATGTTGAAAAGCCAGTCTCTTCTAACTGTTGTGCCAGATCCTGTGCTGAATGAGTTAAATTAGCTGTTTTAAAATTCATTAATTCTTCCAACCCTTTATAAAATAATAAACCATTGAACCGCTAGAACAGAAAATCAAGTCTCCAGAGTTAATTTCAATATTCAGGTCTGTCTTGAAATTGCAGATTCACTTAGCCATGAAAGACTGCCTTCTATTTACTTTTTTGTACTACTGCTGATTTCTTAAATAACTGTGATATGCTGAGAACTTAAATAACTGTGTAGATGGCTTTGTATAACATAGGTTATTTAAAAAAAAAAAACCTACTAGGGTAGCTGTGACTTTTTTTTTTAATAAGAGAATTCATTTTGTATCTCAGTTTTTTCAAGTATGTTCTCAAATACTTTATACAAGTATACAATTTATTGTCTACTTACTTACCTTACCCTCATTCCAAACACCTGTTACTGTCATATTTGATAAGAACAGGGCACCAAAATGGTGAAAATTTCTACGTTATTGACCTTATATGTGTGTGAGACCACCTGATCACTTTGTGTGTTCTCCTAATGATCAGTAATAATAACACAGTTTGGTGATTGTGTGATCACACTTTTAATATTAAGATCTAAGTAAATAAGTTAAATTCAGATATGCTGCTTACACCACAGCAGTATAATTTTAGATGAATTACTGTAATATAGTGAAATATCTCTAAATTGTTTGAATTTTGGACCCTCAAATATCTTACCCTAGAACTTCCCAGTTTCTGGCCTTTAATTTATTTACACCATGCAAGAGTCAACCTTTATTTGATACCTTTATCTGGGATGAAAATGTTTGTAGCAGGCTTTAATGAAATTCAGAATTTAAATTCAAGTTATTATCAAACTCAAAGAAAGTAAAAGTAGTCATAAAATAACAGATACATCAAAGTTTTTAAGTATGATCTATCCAAAGAAAATAGCTGCTTCAGCAGCATAAAGGTTTTATTTGCTATCATGTTAAGTAACTCCAAATTCTGATATTCCTTAGAGAGAATGTTTTCCTAAAGGGTAGTTATTTAAATTTTTTTTATATAGGGGAAAAGTGTATTTTCAAGGAGGCACCACTTTCATCTTAAGAACATTTGCTTCGTCTCATTTCTTGCCTTTGAGCTTTCAAGATGTTTCTTCTGAGCCCCTGTCGGTGTGTGCCAGCTCCCTGTTCTGGAATTAGGTAATTAATGCTTTCATTCCCCAAGGCATTTGTCCACTTTTTAGTTCATGAATTTGTGAATCAAGCAGGTATCTGTATTTTATATTTACCTACTATTAGACCAAAGTTAAAGTGGTCCCCCAGTCTGTCTGTCTTGGCTTCTTCTATTAGTGCAAAATAGATACTGCTCATTGTCAGCCATTTCCTTTCCATTAGTCCTTCTGAGCACGTGATGAAAACCTTGCTATTTTGTATCTAGAAGGAGACTTGAATTAAAAGACAGGAATCTTGGTATTTATTCATCAAGCTTAATTTTCCTGGTGTATTTCTGCCAGAATAGGTAGAAGGACATTGTGTAATATTTTTCTACTTATTAATAGAATAGTGCGTAGGCTGTCATAAGGAGTTGAATACTTCAGATCGGTCAAGTAGTAATTAATGCAACAGTTTTTCCCGAGAGCACAGGAAGCTGAGATAGTTCTTAGCATCATGTGGTTTCCATTAGCCTTTAACGTTGCATGACATTGTTAATTTATGCAGTTTTATAAAATTTGTCTCTTCACTTAAAAAATTAAAATTCCATTTTCATTCTTGTTCCTTTCCCTACAAACAAGAACAGTTTTGATCTTTTAGGTTTTGAAGTCCTATGTAGAAAAAGAAGAATAAAATGAATAACCCTCCAAAATGTGACTCAGAAAAGGAAATTTAAGTTGTATGCACAGAATGCTACAAGTTTATTTCCTGGCATTTCTGCTTGTAGATGCTTTGGAAAATCGTTGTTGCTCATGTTTTGTTTGTTTTAAAATTCAGTATGGTTGAGGAACTTGGCATTCTTAACTGCGGTTTTATTTTTAACTTTGTAAGAGGCTGATGGTATAAATGCGTGCTGTTGGGTTGGAATGGATGTGTGATGATAATCCTCATTGAAGGCCTGTTGCCGTGGTAGACGGTTCATTATTCACGACAGTTTATTTTAGGTCCTGTAGTGCACCCTGTTAGCTCAGGTTATAAATACTGTGAAAGTGGAAGTCGCTCAGTCGTATCCGACTCTTTGCGACCCCATGGATACACAGTCCTTGGAATTCTCCAGGCCAGGATACTGGAGTGGGTAGGTCTTCCCGTCTCCAAGGGATCTTCCCAACCCAGGGATTGAATCCGCATTGCAGGTGGATTCTTTCCCAGCTGAGCCACAAGGGAAGCCCAAGAATACTGGAGTGGGCAGCCTGTCCCTTCTCCAGTGGATCTTCCCGACCCAGGAATCGAACTGGGGTCTCCTGCATTACAGGCGGATTCTTTACCAG